GTAGCGCAGAACCTAACCTGCTGTATAAGGTGGGCCCCTCCTGTACAACAGTAGCCCAGAACCTAACCTGCTGTAAGGTGGGAACCTCCTGTACAACAGTAGCCCAGAATCTTACCTACTGTATAAGGAGGGCCCCTCCTGTACAGCAGTAGCCCAGAACCTAACCTGCTGTATAAGGAGGGCCCCTCCTGTACAGCAGTAGCCCAGAATCTTGCCTGCTGTATAAGGAGGACCCCTCCTGTACAGCAGTAGCCCAGAACTTTGCCTGCTGTATAAGGAGGGCCCATCTTGTACAGCAGTAGCCCAGAACCTAACCTGCTGTATAAGGAGGGCCCCTCCTGTACAACAGTAGCCCAGAACCTAACCTGCTGTATAAGGAGGGCCCTTCCTGTACAGCAGTAGCCCAGAACCTAACATGCTGTATAAGGAGGGCCCCTCCTGTACAACAGTAGACCAGAACCTAACCTGCTGTATAAGGAGGGCCCCTCCTGTACAGCAGTAGCCCATAACCTTGCCTGCTGTATAAGGTGGGCCCCTCCTGTACAGCAGTAGCCCAGAACCTTGCCTGCTGTATAAGGAGGGCCCCTCCTGTACAGCAGTAGCCCAGAACCTTGCCTGCTGTATAAGGAGGGCCCCTCTTGTACAGCAGTAGCCCAGAATCTTACCTGCTGTATAAGGAAGGCCCCTCCTGTACAACAGTAGCCCAGAACCTAACCTGCTGTATAAGGAGGGCCCCTCCAGTACAGCAGTAGCCCAGAACCTTGTCTGCTGTATAAGGAGGGCCCCTCCTGTACAGCAGCAGCCCAGAACCTTGCCTGCTGTATAAGGGGGGCCCCTCCTGTACAGCAGTAGCCCAGAACCTTGCCTGCTGTATAAGGAGGGCCCCTCCTGTACAGCAGTAGCCCAGAACCTTACCTGCTGTATAAGGAGGGCCCCTCCTGTACAACAATAGCCCAGAACCTAACCTGCTGTATAATGAGGGCCCCTCCTGCACAGCAGTAGCCCAGAACCTTGCCTGCTGTATAAGGAGGGCCCCTCCTGTACAGCAGTAGCCCAGAACCTTGCCTGCTGTATAAGGAGGGCCCCTCCTGTACAGCAGTAGCCCAGAACCTTGCCTGCTGTATAAGGAGGGCCCCTCCTGTACAGCAGTAGCCCAGAACCTTGGCTGCTGTATAAGGAGGGCCCCTCCTGTACAGCAGTAGCCCAGAACCTTGCCTGCTGTATAAGGAGGGCTCCTCCTGTACAGCAGTAGCCCAGAACCTTGCCTGCTGTATGAGGGGGCCCCTCCTGTACAGCAGTAGCCCAGAACCTTGCCTGCTGTTAAGGAGGGCCCCTCCTGTACAGCAGTAGCCCAGAACCTTGCCTGCTGTATAAGGAGGGCCCCTCCTGTACAGCAGTAGCCCAGAACCTTGCCTGCTGTATAAGGAGGGCCCCTCCTGTACAGCAGTAAGCCCAGAACCTTGCCTGCTGTATAAGGAGGGCCCCTCCTGTTTCAGCAGTAGCCCAGAACCTTGCCTGCTGTATAAGGAGGGCCCTCCTGTACAGCAGTAGCCCAGAACCTTGCCTGCTGTATAAGGAGGGCCCCTCCTGTACAGCAGTAGCCCCGAACCTTGCCTGCTGTATAAGGAGGGCCCCCTCCTGTACAGCAGTAGCCCAGAACCTTGCCTGCTGTATAAGGAGGGCTCCTCCTGTACAGCAGTAGCCCAGAACCTTGAATGCTGTATGAGGGGGCCCCTCCTGTACAGCAGTAGCCCAGAACCTTGCCTGCTGTATAAGGAGGGCCCCTCCTGTACAGCAGTAGCCCAGAACCTTGCCTGCTGTATAAGGAGGGCCCCTCCTGTACAGCAGTAGCCCAGAACCTTGCCTGCTGTATAAGGAGGGCCCCTCCTGTACAGCAGTACCCAGACCTTGCCTGCTGTATAAGGAGGGCCCTCCTGTACAGCAGTAGCCCAGAACCTTGCCTGCTGTATAAGGAGGGCCCCTCCTGTACAGCAGTAGCCCAGAACCTTGCCTGCTGTATAAGGAGGGCCCCTCCTGTTTTGTGAAATACGTGAAGATCAGAAAGCAGCGAGGGTGAGTATGGAAGGTTAGTGAGGAGTTCTAAAGGAAAAATATAATCAAAGTTGGTGCAATAAAGCTGTTGCTGACAAAATATCAAAGAGGGAGTCAGTTTCCTCATGATAAACTGAGAATCCCTTCATGAAAATCACTAAACCCGTAAGTCATTAGGAAACACAGAGAACTGTTACCACTATAGGATGGATTCATTATTGCTATTACATTAATGGGAAAGAGTTTGTGAACAAGAGGTAATCAGATTTGATTTGGAGGAGAAAATAGATCCAATTCTTTGGATCAAGATCCTTTCATTAACATCAAAGGATCCCCCCTTCCTTCCTCTTCCTTAAAGAGCCATGGAGAGATTATATGCAAAAAAAGCATGATGTTGCCAAAGTGGTAAAATCCCTCACTGAATTAAGTATCATTTTCACCAAGGACAGGATAGCTTTAATTCCCAGAATCAAGAGCCCTTCATCAGCCTCAAAGCACCATCCTAACCCTTAAACGGTCCAAATAGATCGACGTTCAAGTTCGTACTGCTCCAAAAGTAGATCTATTTTTTTTTTTACATATTTTCAAATATAACAAAAAAAATGTATATAAAAGTTTTTTTTACACGTTTTCAAATGTAAAAAAAAAAAAAAGATGTACAATTTTTTTACATATTTTCAAATGTTGAAAAAACATATGTATACGTTTGGACCGTTTAAGGATTAAAAAGCAGAGCCTTCTATGAAAACATGCGTTACTTTAACTTAATCTAAATCGACCTAAATTAATGTATACATAAATAAGCCTTTTATTTAACATGCTGGCCGTCTTCCACTGAGGCAGAGTAACCCAATAAACTCACTAGTGTGAATGATGGTGAAAGCAGCCATCTCCTACTGCCTCAGTAGGAGATGGCCAGTGTTACAAAAAATAATGTTATTGATTTTTATAAAGAGAAAATGGGAGACCTAAAATGGTCTTAGAGCATTTAGGGAATGAGAAGCAATCAGGTTCAATCTAAGGGAAGGATAAATTGTTTCTTATATCAAAAAATTCTCCCCAGTATCAAGGCCCTTGAGGGGCCTTATTAGGAAAAGTTCTTACTCTTGTAGAGGTCATAAAAAAATCTATAGAGTAGGAAGTAATCAGGTTGGTTTCAAAGAGTATTATTATTACATTCATAGGGGAACACTAAATCCACCTTCTGTATACAGTGATAGGTGGAATGCGAGGTAATCAGGTTCATTCCAAAAAGGGAAGCACAAGTTCATTTCCTTGGATGAAGAGCCTCTCATCAACATAAAGGTACTTCATATAGACTTATTATTTTTTAGTGGTGCACCCTCTCCTGCCTAGAATTGCATTATGAGCACAGAACAATATTCAGTCATGAGAGCACAAGTGATTTTAAAAGTACCAAGATTGGCATTGCTTCTCTTTTTTTCTTATTTTCTTAAAATTCTCGTAGTCCACTTTGTCATTTTTCTGATTCTGAAGCATTTTCCTTATTGTATTTTCCAAATAAGAGACTCTGACATATTATTATTATTATTATAATCAAAAAGAAGCGCTAAGCCACAAGGGCTATACAGCGAGACTCTGACATAGTCTAAGTTTTTTACCTGTTTTTTATGCTTTATGATATAGCCTTCCCCCAGTGTCTCACTAGAGAGTCACCTGACAAGCCCTGAGATGATCCACTTTCCACTGGGTGGAATGAAATGATCACCTTAGCACTACCAATGGAAGCTACATTAGAACAAGGCTGACAATGATTCCTCTTCCCATCTATCTAGAGGCTGAACTTCACAAAGGAGGAAATTATTTCCACTCAGTAGCGCACTCAGCTCTCACACAGTGTGTCCTCGGTTTGATCCCTAGTATGGGTGGAAACACTGGACGTGTTTCCTTAAGACACCTGCTGTCCCTGTTCACCTAGCAGCAAGTAGGTACACGAGTGTTAGCTGGCTGGTGTGGTTGCCTGAAATGCTATGCATAATCAGGGGGCTTCCTAGATAGTATATCATTGATGTCTGCTAGGTCTGTGTAAGTTGTATAATGTACTTGTAGAAATCAAATTTATTATTATTATTATTATTATTAATAAAGTCAAAAGGAGAGGGTTGGAGGCATGTGGATTAAATCTGAGGGAGGGGAGAAGAGGTTCAGTTCCTTGGTTTAACAGACCCTTCGCTGTAGCAAGGGAATATCCCCGGAAAGAGTGGGTCAGTTGTCAAGAACAAAAAACTCTGCTATATAAAAGAGAAAAAGGTCAAAGAAATCTCTTAAATTCCAGAACAGATTATCAAAATCATTTTATCTATTGTATAATATATATTATATATATAAAAGAAAATTACACTATTACAGCAGACAAAAAAACAAATTCGTCTGCACGAAAAAATACTGTATAATATAAAACTTCTAAAACAAAAATTTCACCGTATACACTGCTCAGTCAAATTCAGAAGATTGATATTTAAGTGAATACACCCTTAAGTGGAGATTCTGTATATGAAAGCGTACAGTTACCGGGATTACCTTAACTTTCAGCAAAAATTCATTCAAATTCCAACTTGCATAATGTATAGGTACTAAATTCAGCACTTCAGCTGGTTCAACTAGAGCATACAGTAGTTCCCCCGTATCCACGGGGTATACGTTCCAAGAGCTATTGTGGATGCCCAAAACCGCGGATATTAGCAAACCCTAGGTTTGCTACTATCCGCTATGATAAATTATGCAAAATAAGTCAAGAATTAGCACTTTTTAGGCTTTGAAGAACTGCCATCATCACTATTTAGAACTTTGGGGCCATTATTCAGCAAAATTGAGGGTTATTTTCAGGCCACGGTAAACCATGGATAACTGAAACTGCAGAAACTGAATCGCAGATACGGGGTTCTACTGTATTAGCTGTGTATCCTCACAGAGGGCAAATAAACACATTATAATAACAACAGTAATAATACTTTCTATACAGGTTGTCAATATACAGTCTCGGGCCCAATTTCAAGACCACATAAACAAGATATGGTATAGCATATAAAACTTTAGTATCATAATAAAGTGGAAGGCCTCATTCAAATGACCAAACCCACACCATCTTAATGTGAAGTACAGTTTAATATACCAAAGTACAAAGAATAACTGCATTTTAACATCTCGTAACTAAAGCAGCAGTGTGGCCGATGACTTGTTTTTGTATATAATTCCAAGAAACGCATCTTGTACATATTAACAGTGGTTTCCAAACAGCATTCAACACATTCGCTCATGCAACACAAATGCCCTAAGCTTTTTCTCGTACTGTCAAAAGTCAAAATTTCTACAAAGAGCTTAATCACTACGAAATTGACATCTGCATTTAATTCAATTTCAAGAACTCGTCTACAATAACATAAAAGATATAAACATATTATGCCTCTCTTTTTCGTCAAATTTCATACATTATCACTGAAACTCAAAGCAAATTTATAACAATATGCTACACTAATATTTTTTAAAAATATTACAATATATATTATTTAAAAGTTAAATCAAGGGGTTATAAATTTTACCCTCAATGATTCCTTAACTGTGAGCAATAATATATTATTTCTCTTAACAGATAATTGAATATGTACTTTTATATAAACTCTCTGTACAAAATTGCACAAATGCTGATCACAGACAAAGTTTGGACAAGCAGAAATGATAAGCAGGCATTAAATACAGGGAAGATAATTGCCATAGATAGTAAGGCAAGATTCATCACAATAGTTAAATGAATGATGACACCAGAGAATAGTCATTGGAGGAGAATTACACTTCGCTTTGCAACCAGTGAAAATAAACAAAATTCAAAATTTTGAACAACACAATGCCATTTCAATTAATTCTGAATATTTTGCTTTTAATTCTGTTCTGAGTATTTACAAAAAAAATTTTATTCCTTGAAACATATTTATAAATTTTCTTTTGGTAATATTTTCTTCTAATTAGAATAGGTACTGCATATGAAAACTACTTTTAAAAAAAATTACAGTACAATAAAAAAAAATAACAATCTATTGCCTACTCTTATGCAACCACATGAAATTTTTAATGTAATCTTGCTAATCTTTGTAACTTTTATTAATATCTTTCACCTGAGGTATGATAATAGGTTATTATACTAGCAATTATCATTATTCCGGGAAGATGATCATAGGTTATTTTACTACCAATTATTATTCTTGAAAGGCGCTAAATTTTAAGTCCTTCAGCGCTACATGGCAGAGAGAGATGTAAGAGCAAAGAGGTTGATTATTAGTATTACTGTAGTATAATCGAGGGGAAGTTCTAAACCCATAGGGGTCGTACAACACCTGGGGAATGGGTGGTAATCAAATTTCAGCTGATAGGGGAGGTTACTTCCTATTCCATGGATCAAGAGCCCTTCACTAGCCTGAAGTCTCCTTGAAGAGGGTAAGAGATGAAGGAGTATAGGAAAGGATATTACTAGATAGGAGAGGCACAGCTGATGTAACACTCTACTACTAAGAATCTTAGAGTACAGTACACACATCTACTGAAACCTGTTTTTGAAGTCAAGATCCTCGAATATAATTTTCACTGTGTTTGTATTATTCGTAAGACGTAAAATATACTATTGCCAGTTTATGGCAGCATCGGAAGCCTGCGGGTTGGGTGGGGCTGACTGGATGTTGCTAAATGACTGAACCGTACTACCTGGCTCTGAGGTTTCCCACTCCATCAAGGCATCATTCAGGAGGGCCTGCAAGTCTACTGGACCTGCAGAGCGCTCATGATCTGTACACTCACATTTAGCCAACACATTTCTCAGCATTTGTAACTTGTTGGTGCAAATAACAACACAGCAAGAATCGTCATCTTCCTTCCTTAGTACCAGATCTAAGCCAGAATTATGACGAACATCACTCGTTCGGGATTCTGTGCCACCTCCATAGTTCCCGTGAAACTGTTGCTGATCAGGCTCTGAATGGTGGTGGTGATGATATTCTGTTTTTATGTGATGAGACTGATGTTTTGACTCTAAATGATGGTGCTGCAATTTAGGATCAGTGTGATGGTGATGGCATTCAGGTTGGCGATGTTCATGCTGGTTTTCTACTTTGGGAAAGTGGTGTTGATGGTCATGCTTTGAATGATTATGGTGAGGTTCAGGTAAATGGTGGTGACCATGATGGTGATCTTGGTGATCATGGGGAACACAAGATGAGGAGTGCTCTTCATTTAAGGGTGCATGATGCTGCGAACTGCATGATGATGAAGGGTGAAGTTGTGAATGTTGAAGGTTCTGAGAGTTTGATGTGTTTTGCTTTGCCTGGTGACTACTGAGATCTGATACTGGCAAGGATGACTTTGCTGTAGGAGCATTAGAGCTAGAAGATGGCAATGAGTTTTTATTAGCACAGCATGAGCCTGTCATATTTTCCAAATGTGAAGAGCACGACAGCGAGGTTATAAGAGACTGTGTCGACCTGCACCAGGTATTTCCTGGTGCACTAGAGCGGCAGCAGCTAGAAGACACTGAAGTGGACGGTGGGGTACAACAGTTATGTGAAGAAACAGTAGAGGGTGAGGAGCAATATGATTTGGCCTTTCCCCATTGTCTACAGCAGTCTTGAGATACCACTTGATGCTGGTTTTCCTTCTGAAGATCAAAATATCCACAGCAAGCCGGAGACGATGCCTTTAAGCTTACCGTATTTATAGCATTATTGGGTGCACTGTCCCTTGCAGGTGTGGATATCTGGGCATGTTGCACTTGCTGTGAAGCATGTGATGAAACTGATGTAACAGCACTATCAGCTGATGGTGTGACAGTGGTGACAAAAGTGTGTGAAGAGTTATTACTGGCTGAATGATGAGACGATAATGTAGACAAACTTCCCATATCATCTGTTAGTAAAGCTTCTATCATGTTTGGTGAGGAGAAAGGAAAATCTGTTGATAAATCTGTTGTTGTCATATCCATATCAAATGTGTGATCCATCGACGTGCTGTCACTACTCAGCCCTCCTGAAGGATTAAGTCCAGCCACATTACACTTGTCTGCTGCACCAAACACAGTACCATGGGATAAAGGAGAGACAATCAAGTCTTCCATTGATGGTGAGGCCAAAGTGCTCATATCGTCTAAATTAGCTAGGCCGGAAAAAGCAGAAGTCGAGCTGTGCTGTCCAGAAGGCCCTGGTAGTAATGACTCTAAGCCTGACTGAACAGACCTATTTGGTCCTTGTGCAGCGTGTGCTGTAGAAGAGTTTATGCCGACTGTTTCACGTAGAAACTCTTCTACAGAAATTTGACTATCTGGAGTTTCCAAGGATCTTGCCTGATCAATAACTTCAGAAGTATTTACCACTGCTGTAGAACAATTAGGATGTCTTGAATCTGAATCTGTTACTAACACTGAAGGTACGTTAATGTCGTCCTTTAAGTTACCTGAATTTTTATTATTCATTTCAGTTTTCACTTCAAAAACACTTTTCAAATGACTTGCAGAAGTATTAATTGGAGTTTCAGTGACAGGTTCTTGGTAAACCTCTTTTTCTTTCAATGTTTGGCTCATGCTGAGAGATGATGGAATAGGGTTTGAAGGAGAATATTTATTTGCAATTGGTGATGGAGTTTTCCGAACCACAGGTGAGTCTGCAATGGCATTACACGAGCATTCATTGCCTCTTGAGGGATCACAGCGACAAGGGTTGCACTTACATATGTCTGCATGAGCGGCAATCTTTTCCAAAAGGCCACGTTCATCACTGTCATCATTCTGCACGAAGAGAAAAAACATTAGATTTTTTCTAATACAAACTGTATACACCATATGTACATACGTATAGCTAAAATAAAACACAATCATAAAATACAGTACATCTAACATGAAACAGTGTCTAGAAAAAACGAAGCATTTCTAGCATGAAATAAAAAAAATATATCAAGCATAAAAATCATCCACACTGATATTACAAGTCTTAGTGGGGAATCTACTGTATTTTAGATACTAACAAACCCATCCAAAAATCTATAGTTTGCCACAGGACTGTCCTGTTTATCAGTGAACATGCAGAATTTACCTCCGACATAGTCACCGCTCAAACACCCTCACTTTATCTTCCGTTGCAACTGACAGCCCAACTTTAACACAGACTCCCTCTCTGACTTTTTGACAGCATGAGATTTATTACACAACCTTCGACAATGATTCCCTTAGCACTCTGCCCTTACAAACTCTGTTATATTCTCCACCTTCACTAGTTTCAGATCAAACATAAAACAGTTCACACACTCTACCTTGCATAACTGTATGACCCTGGTGGGTTTAGCACTTAGTTTCGATTATACTATTATTGTTATTATAATAATGTCCTAGGTAGTAGGTTGGTAGACAGCAACCGCCCAGGGAGGTACTACCGTCCTGCCAAGCGGGTGTAAAACGGAAACCTGTAATTGTTTTATATGATGGTAGGATTGCTGGTGTCTTTTTTCTGTCTCATAAACATGCAAGATTTCAGGTACGTCTTGCTACTTCTACTTACACTTAGGTCACACTACACATACATGTACAAGCATATATATATATATATACACACCCCTCTGGGTTTTCTGCTATTTTCTTTCTAGTTCTTGTTTATTTCCTCTTATCTCCATGGGGAAGTGGAACAGAATTCTTCCTCCGTAAGCCATGCATGTTGTAAGAGGCGACTAAAATGCCGGGAGCAAGGGGCTAGTAACCCCTTCTCCTATATAAATTACTAAATTTGAAAAGAGAAACTTTTGTTTTTCTTTTTTGGGCCACCCTGCCTCAGTGGGATATGGCCGGTTTGTTGAAAAAAAAAAAATAATATAATGTGAGACACCAAATTTAGCTGACAACAAAACCTGCCTCTAATGCAAATACGTACAATAATTCTATGCTCAGGCTCCAGAACTTGACTAATTAATTAACCACTTTTCTAAAATCATTTCTAACTGCTTTCAGATCTGAACTATTACCATGCTACAAATGTCAAGCTGACACCCAAAGCTGAGTCTCATAACGGTGGATCTCCTCAAATTCGTCCGCCAAATAAACATCGCAGGCTGTGGCAGATGGAAATGCATATCGGACCAATACATTCTACTAATCATGTCAAAATCAACTCCTTATAATGCATATAAGGAATGAAAAAAAATAGGTCAGTATGGTGGTATAAAAGAGTATAGTACAGGGAGGAATGAAGAGTTGAAATGGTTTGATTATAAGCATAATGATGTTACTGTATTTAATAGCATTATCTGATGGGGAATGAGCACTTAGTTTTGATTATAATAACAATATTTTATCTTTGGTTTTTGGGACCTGATAAGCTGTTGGAGTGTGAGCAGGGTAATATTTTGTGAAGGATTCAGGGAAATCAGTTAGCCAGACTTGAGTCCTGGCAATGGGAAGTACAATGGCTGCACTTTAAAGGAGGGGTTTGGGATACTGGCAGGTTGGAGGGACATCTAAACTGTTGTATCTGAGAGCCTCTGCAAAGACAGTGAAAGTATTGAATGATGATGAAAGTTTTTTCTTTCTTTTTGGGCCACCCTGCCTCTGTGGGAAATGGCCAATGTGTTAAAAAAAAAATATTTTATCTGATGGGGTGGAGAGGGAAGCAATATGGCAAATGCTGTAGTAATAAACTTCAGCAGGAGCTGGAAAGTTTACCAAGACTTTGCTTACCTGCAAAGCATGCTATATATGACTTGATAAAGCCTGCTGGTCAGATAATATGTAGTCTCGGTAAAGTTTCCAACTGCTGCATGTGCATATTTATCAACTACAACTTGTCATTCTCACACCATACACTTGCCACTGATTGGAACCTTTCCAGGATGCTGACAATTGGCTCAATAACTTTGGCCTAGGGCTCCTGTACATGCCATCTGGTCCTTGAATTTAGCCCTCGATATTGTACACCAGCTAATCAGATGAGGAATTCTCATCTTAGCGAAATAAAAATGTAATGATGGAGGAAGGAAAAAATGTTGCAAATGTATAGTATAGGTGGCAGGTAACTAAAAGCAGTAAAAAGTGCTTATGAAGACAGTGAGCTCAGCCTCTTGGATGTTCAAGCTTCTAGCACTCAAAGCATCCTTTACCCCCCCCCCTCCCCTCCAATCCTCCCTGGAACAACCGCTACTCCTTCCTTTCCCCCCTGAATTGTATACACTCTTAGCCATTCTGTTTTGCTGCCATCCTCTCAAAGTATTTAAACCACTACAATAATCCCTTCTCAGTCCTCTAAAACATACTTTTGGTAACCCTACACCTTCTAACCTCCATGCTCTGGATTCTCTGCATATATTCGCCCAACACCTTGCCTTCACACAAGACACCCCCAGCCTTCTCCACAGCACCATTACAAACTCCCTTGCTTACTACCAATATGTTTGTACCCCTATATTCTGGTACATTCCCCATTTTGCTTCCACGGGTAACATTCATTTGTATAGATGCCTTAATGCACTGCCCACCTTTTTTCCCCCCTCTTCTATTCTATGGTTTATGTTTCACACAGACACCAAGTCCACTCCCAAGTACAGCCTCTCCTTGCTTAGTGACTTACTCATTTACCGACGACTCAAACTTATGATGGGCTCTGTGACTAAATGTACATTAGAGCTGTTTTCCTCTATTCTGTTTATTACAATATACAATACAGAATAAACATTTAAAAATATACTAAAATGTTATAAATGGTGCAAAGGTGACATTAAAACAACATCAAAGATGGGTGATACAAAGCCACTACCATTATAGTATGATCCTGGTTTAGCAACAAATTCATTTACCAACGTGGTCTTAGGAACGGAACTCTGTTGTTAAGAGAAGAGAGGCTGTATCTGAACACATTTACCTCCTCCATACTCCTTCCCTCCAATTTCATGCCTAATCTTTCATTGCCTAGATTTTTTGTTACTCTCATGACATTTCCTATGTTCAATATACTCAATATACTATGTTCATATACTCTCCTAAATTCCTCCACGTTTTGCAACTTCTCTTCAGAATTTCCCAAATGAAGAACAATGTCATTGGCAAAGAGCAACCATGACAACTCCCACTCAATCTAAATCACTAAAATAAATAAACAAGACCACCTTGTTTCAATGGGAGACAGCCATTGTGTTAAAAAATATTTCTTTCAACGCACCAGCTGTATCCCACCGAGGTGGGGTGGCCCAAAAGGAAAAACGAAAGTTTCGCCTTTTAAATTTAGTAATATATACAGGAGAAGGGGTTACTAGCCCCTTGCTCCCGGCATTTTAGTCGCCTCTTACAACACGCATAGCTTACGGAGGAAGAATTCTGTTCCACTTCCCCATGGAGATAAGAGGAAATAAACAAGAACAAGAACTAAAAAGAAAATAGAAGAAAACCCAGAGGAGTGTGTATATACAGTGGAACCTCAAAAATCGAACTGCTCCCAACTCAACCAATTATGTAAGTGTATTTTTGTAAGTGCTTTTATAAGTGTATGTTTGAGGGTTTGAAATGGACTAATCTAATTTACATTATTCCTGATGGGAATAAATTCATTCGGTAATGGCACTTGGACAGCCTTCTGGACTGAAGAAAGTTCGATATTTGAGGTTCCACTGTATATGCTTGTACATGTATGTGTAGTGTGACCTAAGTGTAAGTAGAAGTAGCAAGACGTACCTGAAATCTTGCATGTTTATGAGACAGAAAAAAGGACACCAGCAATCCTACCATCATGTAAAACAATTACAGGCTTTCGTTTTACACTCACTTGGCAGGACGGTAGTACCTCCCTGGGCGGTTGCTGTCTACCAACCTACTACCTAAGTGTTAAAAAATATATACATATATATATATATATATAAAATGATATACACCTGGGATAAATCTGCAATAGTCTGGGAGTCACGCAAGAGTCTACCAACAGTGGTGTCATCCGTGGCTTTCACAATTGGTACCTGAAAAAGTCATAATTGTAAAATACAAAGGCATAAAATATAACATTTTATACTGAATAATCATCCACAATAAGAATGCCTTCTGGTTGAGTCGATTTTAAAAGAAGCTTACAATTGACATGGACACTATAGTGCAGAACATGTATATACATCATACTGTATTTGCAAAATAACCCCTGTGAAAAAATATTGAATTTCCAAGCACTTTTGTGATATCTCATATTATCAGTTCCTTGATAATGTGAGAAATCACCAAAGCACTTGGAAATTCACTATTTTTTTCAGTGGTTATTTTGAATATTGTGATATCACCAATTTACTGCTATCTTATTACATACTGTATATATAACAGTCTCTCCACCTCTGATACCTCATTTCTTGCAGGAACTCCCCGCCAATACTGCGAAAGTGAGATAGCCACCAACCTTCATCTTTGGGTTACACTTGAGAGCTTCCGACTCTAGGAAATCTTGTAGTGTGAGACTAGTGGAACTCTTCCCCGCATCTCCCTCGACAGGAATGATGGCAAATACTGCAAAATAACAAAAGCATAAAGAACAAAAGTTAAAATACCATGTTAGGTAAAAGGACACAAGTGCAACTAATGTGATATTTTGTTGTGGCAACGTTTCGCTCTCCAGGAGCTTTGGCAAGCTGTTCATGGCTTGACAAAGCCGCAATTATATGTATATCACATTAGTTGTACTTGCGTCCCTTTATCTAACACATTGTCGGTAATTCTACCAACAATATTAAAATACAATGGCTGGAAATATTCAACACTAACCCACAAACTGGCTTGCAACCCAATGCCTGCTCTTTAAAGGAGGGGGTTTGGGATACTGGCAGTTTGGAGAGAAGTACAGTGCCTGCACTCTGAAGGAGGGGTAGAGATATGTTGCACTTTTTGAACTGTAGTGTACCCATGCCTCTGGCAAGACAGTGATGGAGTGAGTAATGATTTTTTTTTTTTTTTTTTTTTTTTGAGTCACCCTGCCTCGGTGGGAAACAACAGATGAGTTAATAAAGAAAAATAGACATTAGCATGGAAAGAAGTAAAATTGTACATAAAATGCATACCTTTTTGTTTCACTGAAGGTTTACTGGAGTGATGCGACTGCTGTTGTCCACCGCAGCAACCTCCTCTACTGCCACCAGTACCGACACATTTATCAGCAGCTTCTTTTCTCTCCACATCACCAGCTGCTACTTGCCCAGTCTCTTCCATAACCTTGCAAGACAACTTTGTAGACAGAATCATTTATAGGCAAAAACCATTCCAATATACAAATATTGCCCAAAACATTTATATCAATACTAAGATTTGAATAGTATGTTGATTTGCCATGTACTCACTCATAGTGAATGTTCAGACAATATGATAAATACATTCTATCTTGCTAAATGAATTAATGTTATATTATTGAGCCTTTCATCTCTTTAAATAGTGCTATGAACTGAACAAAGACTGGAAATACATGTGAATAGCATATATAGCTCACTTAGAGAAGGAACCTGTACCACAATCGGCAAAGCATCCTGTAATTCATAGCACAATTAGCAAGTAAATCTATAAAACATAATAAAGTAGCCTGTAATACATAGCACAATTAGCATTTATCTTAATATTTTCACAAAAAGCAAAGCAACCTGTAATAAACTGTACAATTAGCAAAGCAGCCATTAGCACATAGCACAGTAAGCAAAGCAGCAAATAATATACAGTGTAATTAGCATAGCATTTTTTCACATAAATCTTGTGATAATCCTACTTTCTTCTGAGAGAGCACAGAGTCTGTGGTTTGGTTCAGATTCGAGTTATCTGATGTATCTTTCAGTGGTGTCTGTGCTGGCTTCAGCTCCTGTTGTTGCCATTCCTGCTTGTTGTTCAGGTTGCGTTTGTGAACCCTCATGTGGCTCTTTCTGGAGTAGTTTGTTGTAAAGGCCTTATCACAGTCCTGTTCCACACACATGTAAGGCCGCTCACCTGCAAGTGACAGACATCTGCTCTAATAAACAATCATCTCTTATATTCCTGCTGTCCAAGCATCACTAACTCTTCAGAAATAACCATCACAATACTATAATCCAATTGCCAGGACTTTTCACCATATATTAACAAATAAATATTGTATAACATTTTCACTATGAATGCTATCCACTGGACCAGTGTAACAACAGATGACCCAGCAAAGTATTTATATTATCTCAGGAAAATTTGACTTGATGCAGGTGACTCCTCAAGCCCATGACATCTGAATTGATGAACCCCATTAAGGGAAGTGCTTTAAAGCTGGTAAAGATCTCTTGATCCATGCAATTGGAGCTGCCTTTCCCTTCCTTGGATTAAACATGATTATCTGCCTTTCCTCAGAGATTTTATGATCTTTACAGGTTAAGCTTTCACCATGATGATGATGATAATAATAATAAATTATTTTTTAAGTAAATAATAGTTTTTCTGCTGACGAACAAATTCAAATTTCAAGATGACTAATCCAAAATGCACTTTTCAAACTGACACAAAGCTCAATGGCAGAGAGCTCACCTCACAACAAAAATGACCCAGGTTCAATTTCAGGTGAGGAGAGACATAGATGCAAGTCTAATTGTACCTGCTGCCCAGGTTCCTCTAGCAGTACAAAAAGCTACCTAGATATTAGTCAGCTGTTGCAGGTCATGAACTAGAGGAAATAACCTCAAGCACTCTGGTGGAAATAAGACACACTGCTTGGCTAGTCTGGGTTCAGTCTTCTTGCATCCATTTACAACAAAAGGAAACATATCATCAACATTAAGTTCTATTAGACATTGTAGAAGGTGGAAAGACTAATGGATGGGATGGTGCATTTTCAGTTACCCTAATGTTGAAAATTAGGGACAATACCCAAGTTATTAAAGATGGCAATCTGGTTGGAAGAGAGGGCCAAGGGACTTGGCTTGAAACAGCATTATTATTATTTTTATTTGGGGGCTTTAGGAAGCTTCAGCTCCTTGGTGCCACCCCTGGAACTTATTAACCATTCAAATAGTCTTGAACAGGTTACCAAGTTTACTTCATTAATAAAGTAATAGTGACTAGTCTTGTCAAGCTTAGAAACACTATGAAAGGTAACATTCACACTGCTAGTAACAAAGCAGCTGCTGATTAGCGTACCAGTGTGTATCCTTTTATGAGTGCGTAGGTGGTGACTTACAGTGAAGGACTTGCCACATCCATCTTCTTCACACCTGCAGGAGAGAAACATGCTCTGTACATTATTATTATTATTATTATTATTATTATTATTATTATTGATATAATAATATTTTTATTATTTACTGGGAAGAGTTAAGCTCAGGGGTACATACAGCAACTGAAAAATTATAGGAAATCCAGTTTGATCTGAGGAAGGGATAGTGGTTCCAGTTCCTTGACTCAATACATCATTTCTTTTAGCTATTTTTCCTTTGAAACAGAATATATAAGTGCTACTTATGAAACTCTCATGGATTCAACCTTTCAAAAAGTATAATGATGCTTATTTTAGCACTTCTTCTGTGGGAAGAATGCATGACCTGGAAAAAGGATTAATCATTCATTCATTATATAGAAAATTTCATGGATTTAGTTAGACTAGTCAGACATATCTGTGCCAGTATCATAACCTTCAAAATATCTTTGGAAGAATTGTCGAGGAAAATTTTACTACAGTAGTCCCTCCGTATCAATGGGTGATACATTTCAAGACTTACTTACATTGTACTATCACTGCCGCCACTGCTGCTGCAAGAGAATTTTGGCAGTGCCAGTATGTGTTTGTTGCCAAATCCAATTTTCAGTACACCTACCATACGACTTACGACCGAGTTCGGTTCCGAGAAACCGGTCGTAAGTCAAAATGGTCGTAAGTCGAATTTTACTACTGAATATCAACAAAACATTTTTGTAATGACTTTATTTTATTGTTTTATTTTGGTATTTCATGTTTTACTTTACTTTTTATGTTGTTAGTACAGTGGACCCCCGCATAACGATCACCTCCCAATGCGACCAATTATGTAAGTGTATTTATGTAAGTGCGTTTGTACGTGTATGTTTGGGGGTCTGAAATGGACTAATCTACTTCACAATATTCCTTATGGGAACAAATTCGGTCAGTACTGGCACCTGAACATACTTCTGGAATGAAAAAATATCGTTAACCGGGGGTCCACTGTACTGTATTTTATACTGTAAGGTTTAGGATAAACACTGTGTACAACACAAATAGTTTTTTATTTCCCAGAAATTTGGCATAAAAAACACGGTCGTAAGTCGAGTGGTCGTAAGTCGAGCAGGTCGTAAGTCGGATGGTAGGTGTATATTTTTTATTCATTTGTTTGTTGACCAATCTTAATGAAACTTTATATGACCATGTTTTATGCATTCTTGTTTGTTTTGATTGTAATAATAATACTGTATTCACTCTTATCCGAACAGTAAATAATGAGTGAAATGAGACGATAAAAAAATGAAACCACATAATGCAACCTACTTAACATTTTCGGACCGAGCTAAACTGCGGATAACTGAAATGGAGAAACCAAATCCGTGGATACAGGGGTTCTACTGTACATATAAATATAAAGAGTGTTCTTAAGGACATACTTAAAAGGTTTCTCTCCAGTGTGGGTTCGGACATGCTTTCTCAAATCTGAGAGTGTGGTGAAAATGCGAACACAGCCATCCTGGTTGCAGTTGAAGGTGTCCCCATTGTGAAGACGCTGGTGGGCTCTCAACCTAAAGATATAATCACTATTTAAAAAAAAAGGAAGTACAGAAGAATAATTGCTAAAGTAAAAATTGGAAGGACAAGAATAAGAGTGAGGAGGAGCTGGAAAGTGGAGAGAGAGAGAAGGGAAGGAGGAAAGGGAACTGCAGGCTCTACACTGTCTCCTCAGTGATTATCTTCATGGTAGATCTCTAAGGGTAGTTCTCAATGGAACAGAATCAGCAAGACATCCTATTGGGGCAAGTGTTCCACAGGGAAGTGTGCTTGGGCCATTGTTATGGAATGTCTACTTCAATGACCTTCTTCATCTCATCCCAGAATCACATGCATATGCAGACTGTACTCTGACATTTACTTATCCAAAAGAAGAAATGCCAGCTCCTCTAAGCTACATCAAACACCAGCTAAGAGCTATATCAGATTGGGGAAACAGATGGCAGGTAACTTTTCCACCTGAGAAAACACAAATGATGATGGTAATGCCGGAGCAGTGGTAAGTATGAACTGGAGAGTGTTGGTACCTGAGGAAGAAGTTGATATCCTTGGATGAAATTTGACTCCAAACTGACCATGAAGAACCATGTTGTAAATCTTGCAAACAAGGCAGCCAGGAAGCTTACAGCACTTCGACGTATCTCGCATCTGCTTGACAGAAGGGGTTGCAAAATTCTGTATGAGGACAAGTACTCTCACACCTTGACTATGCTCCACTTTCTTGGTTTGCCTGAACCCCATCTCATCTGCAACTGCTTGACAGAGTAGAGAATAAAGCAAGACATCTCATCTCTCGCCTGGACTCATCCTGGATAGATCCGTCATTTCAGCAGAGCCTTCAACACAGAAGAGATGTGGGTGGCCTTACTATTATGTACAAGGCCAACATTGTCAAAGTACCACACTTGGATCCACTTCGAGGACAGCGAGTAGCAAGCTTCTATACCATAAGATGACAGCAGAAGCTTCACTCTGGCTGTACCCTTCTCTAGAACATCACTTCATCTGAGATCATTTATCCCCACAATGACTCATGTCTGGAACACGTTCGTACAGCATAATGATATTAACGAGATAGAGTCAGATGATCAAATAAAAATGCTGGTCCACAGATGGCTCCAACTTCATCCTGTTCCCTACTTGTATATTTCATAACAATAAATATGCTTTCAAATGAGCTGATGTAGGTAACAGCTCTTAGTTTGTCAATAAAGTTAGGAATCTTTAACTTGTAAATAGCTTGTCAATAAAGTTAGGGATCCTTATCCTAACCTTGTCAAACCCTGTGAAAAAAAAAAAAAAGAGGAGGAGGAAGGAAGAGATTTATGTGAGGGAGAAATGAAGGAAGGAGAAATTAGATGTAAGAGAATAACAAATTACAGCAACGAGTTTTCATAGTAGAAGCAGGTCCTTGAAGCATTAATAATTATTATCACACTAGCCGATTCCCACCAAGGCAGGGTGGCCCGAAAAAGAAAAACTTTCACCATCATTCACTCCATCACTGTCTTGCCAGAAGGGTGCTTTACACTACAGTTTTTAAACTGCAACATTAACACCCCTCCTTCAGAGTGCAGGCACTGTACTTCCCATCTCCAGGACTCAAGTCCGGCCTGCCGGTTTCCCTGAATCCCTTCATAAATGTTACTTTGCTCACACTCCAACAGCACGTCAAGTATTAAGAACCATTTGTCTCCATTCACTCCTATCAAACACGCTCACGCATGCCTGCTGGAAGTCCAAGCCCCTAAGTGCTAAACCACCAGGGTCTGATCTCATAACAATAAAGTATTTCATAATATAAATCATTCTCTCGCTTGGCCCCTGAACAAACTCAAATCTCTCGACTTTTTCAACCAGCATTTTAAATAAACACTGGACAAGAACAAGAAGAAAAATCCATTAAACACCTAACACAGATTTATTAGCCCAGAAAAAAAAACAGATCTCACCTGTACAAGGTAGTGAAGGCTTTTTGACACCCATCATTTTCACAGGTATAGGGCTTCTGCTGAGCATGAACTCGAAGGTGAACCTTGAGCGAATATGACGTTAGAAAAGCCTTGCCGCATCCTGTAGCTCGACAACGGAATCTGTATTCTCCTGAAATAAAAATAAGGAAAATTTCTTTGAAAATAAAATTCAGTAAATTCATATTTTAACAAAAATTCTATGGCTGGTATCGAGTTCATTCTGAGCCATAATTAATATGTTTGTAGGCAAAGTGCTAAACCTGCATGGGTCACACAGTGCCTGGGAGAATAGAAGGCAATCAAGTTTAATCCAAGGAAGGGGAGGTCAAGTCTAATTCCTTGGATCAAAAGCCCCTTGCTGGCAAAAAGGATCCTCACTTAAGGGAAAAGGATACACACAAGCACCACCACAATACTCATACATTTACCTCACCCTGCACCAGGCTCTGGTGGCCTGGTGGTTAACGCTCTCGCTTCACACGGCGAGGGCCTGGGTTCGATTCCCAGCCAGAGTAGAAACATTGGACGTGTTTCTTTCAACCTGTTGTCTATGTTCCCCATCAGTAAAATGGGTACCTGGGTGTTAGTCGACTGGTGTGGGTCGCATCCTGGGACACTGACCTAAGGAGCCCTGGTCACAGACCGGGCCGCGGGGGCGTTGACCCCCGGAACTCTCTCCAGATAAACTCCAGAAACTCTCCAGATAATATGGAATACAGCCTCCCCTCACTTAACGACGTATTTGCTTACCAACGCCTCAGACTTATGATGGGCCCTCTAACCAATATTCATACCTAAATAATGTATATTAGAGCTGATTTCCTCTATTCTGTTTATTTCAATATACAGTACACTACTATATTAACACTTAAAAATATACCAGAAATGTTATAAATGATGTAAAGGTGACATTAAAAAAATACCAAAGATGGTTGACACAAACTCACTACCATTATACAGTGGACCCCCGCATAACGATTACCTCCAAATGCGACCAATTATGTAAGTGTATTTATGTAAGTGCGTTTGTACGTGTATGTTTGGGGGTCTGAAAGGAATAATCTACTTCACAATATTCCTTATGGGAATAAATTCGGTCAGTACTGGCACCTGAACATACTTATGGAGTGAAAAAATATCGTTAACCGGGGGTCCACTGTAGTATGCTTCTCACTTAGCGATGAATTCATTTAACAACGTGGTCTTAGGAACGGATCTCCGCCGTTAAGTGAGGAGAGGCTGTATATATTCAACTCCCTAAAAATTATGCAAAAAAAACATATCTTGTCTGGAAAAACCACTGGGCACACTAAAAAGAAAGTCCCACATTACACATCCATACTTACAAATGCAACACTTATGAACTATAGTGACTGAAATCCTACGTCCTTCAAGTTACAGCACAATAAAATACTAACGTAAACAATCGGGGACACAACTTATTTGCAAGTTAGACATCGCATATTACAATACCATGTCAAACATGGTGTCAACTATGTGCAGTATTAGAAAAAGAAAACTCCATTTTCATTGCTTTAATTAATCCTACTGTCTAAAATAAATTAATCTGGCTATGTCTAAACAGTATCTTATCTCTTACATTCAAGCGAACTTAAAGTAAAATATGTATATAAAAGTACAGGATGAAGTCTCTGCTATCATTTCACAGTTAGCTTAAAGTTTTCAAAAAAAAAAAAAAAAAAAAAGGCTTCTGGACGAGCTCAAACAACAGTAATGTACACTACCCTATGGATCATGCTTTAAATATTCAGTGCAATACTAGTTTAGGAAGTTCTACAGAAAATGCTGATAATGTATTTCATCCTAGTTCGATATGGGGACTATCATGAAAAATGTTCTGTCTTTTAAAGTAGACAAAAATTACAAAAATAGTACATTTAACATGTGGTATTCAACATTTACTGTATGTAAAATTTGTGGTATTCTATAATACGGTATGTTAAACATGTGGTATATTCAACATGTGGTATATTCAACAACACTACAAAAACATTATAAAAATACAACAAAAACACTACAAAAAAAAAAAGACTTAAATACATGGTAAGCTCAACAATTAGTTACCTCTGTGTGTTTTCAAATGTGTGCGGAGATTGCCGGGAGTGCTATAAGTACGCTCGCAGCCCTGGTATGTGCAGTGGAAGCGGCGGGTGGTGGTGGTGTTGGTGGCTGGGTCAGTAGCCTGGATGGTGAGGGTGGCATGACTCGGTTCATCTGGCATTTGCATCCCTGACTCTCCCGGGTGAATGTGCATCACTATTTCATTTTCTCGAATGGTATGCTGAATGTACCTGGCAATGGGATGCAATAAATAAACAAAACAAACTTCATTTCTGTAAAATGGATTACAGTATACAGCCACTCCTCACTTAACGATGGAGTTCCGTTCCTAAGACCAAGTCGGTAAACGAATTCATTGCTAAGTGAGGAGCATGCTATAATGGTAGTGGGTTTATGTCAGCCATTTTTGATATTGTTTTAATGTCACCTTTGCACCATTTATAACATTTCTGGTACATTTTTAAATGTTTATACAATAGTGTACTGTATATTGTAATAAACAGAAGAGAGGAAATCAGCTTTAATATACATTATTTAGGTATGCATGCTGGTCAGAGAGCCTGTCGTAAGTCCGAGTCGTCGGTAAACGAGTATGTCGCTAAGTGAAGAGAGGCTGTATTATACAATTAGGATGACAGATATATATAAACTACTTATAGAAAGACCCTTATTATGCAAGGCATTTTGGGTGACTTTAAAACCTAATTATGATTACAAGTAAATGAGAACAAGAATACATAGTTTTTATTACATTGGAGGCATTTAGTAATTCAACAAAATACTATAACCAGAGTTATATTAAGTATGAAGCAAGGTACATGATTGCCACTGATGCCAGGAAAACTGTGTTATGCAAAGAACCACTAGGCAAAAAACATTATTTGGTAAAAAATAATGTAAAATACACTAATACATTCTTAAGAAAAAAAAAATTATAAAATAATATAAATTCTGTATATGAAAAAATGTGATAAAAACAAAAAAATAATTAGCCCACTATTAATTTTCTCTTAAATGGCAATGTAAGGAATGTTAAGAAAAAAAAAAAAGCTATAAGAATACAACTACGGGCTTCCAAGATTTCTGTCAACACTCACTGGTATGGGCACATTATCAGGGTCAAATTTAAAGTCAAAGATTTATTTCAACATGATACAATGTTTGTATAGAGATGAGTGACTTTTGGTTGTGCATGCAGAAAGCCCGGGTAATCTTCATTATCTGAAATTGGGTCTAGAGAAACTCCTTAAGCTAACGGTGTTGCCAAGTATGAATCTGCAGTGAACACTGACCTCGAAGGAGCTTTGAAGAAAAATTTATGTACCTTATACTGCACATTAGCTTTACCTCTAGACATTAAATACTTTTTTCTTAGCTTATCCACATTAACCCCTCACTATTGTAAATACAGGAGGGTCCCACATATTCAGCACCCTCTTTTCAGCATTCCACATTTTCATTGCCTTTTAAGTAAGCTATTGTTCATTATGTTTGGCGATTTTACCACTTTTCTGCCATTTTTGCACAATAGTTGCATAAGGGAAGGGTGACCAGCACCATATTTTAAAGTGAGTATTGTATGTACTGTGTATTTATTTTACTTTTTCATCTGTTTTTTGAGTAACCGTACTGAGCACTAATATATGAGTCAAAACATGTTATCAGTGTTTTAGGTGCATTCAATAATGAATAACACTCTTTACCACTTGCCAGCGATTTTCGCATATCAAACGGAGTCAGGAATCTAAGAGCCATACAAATGGGGCCCTCCTGTGCTTTAAAGTATTGTACAATATTATAATTATCATCCAATAATCTAATTCATTTGAAATTGTATTCAACAGTGCATTCTGTAATATACACTGTACTTGCATATCTGGTCAAATTTATATTAACCGTCCCAGAGTTTAGTTTCTGTGATAACTTGGAAAGCTTCTTCTGATCAGCTACAAGCTTTCAACTTTGGTGTATCCTACCCATAAGAAGGTTGGAATTGTTATTAGAGTCTGTAGGAATCAAATTGCCAATTTATTTTTAAAATAAATATCACCCAGTGTTAAGATTATACTATTTGTGAATACGTACTTACTTTCAGTGCTATTATTAATACATAAATTCATTTGAATTACCTTTCATCTTGGTTTAAGGTATCCCATAGCTTGATCACTAGCACACTCAGCTCACACACTGAGGTCCGGAGATCGAATCCCCGGTACGGCTGGAAAACATTAGGACGTGTTTCCTTAAGACACCTGTTGTCCATGTTCACCCATCAATATAAAATGGGTACCTGAGTGTTAGTCGACTGGTGTGGGTTGCATCCTGGGACTAAACTGACCTAATTTGCCTGAAATGCTCTGCATACAAGCAGTTTTCTATAAAGTAGTACAGCCTCTCCTCACTTAGCGACGTACTCGTTTACCGATGCCTCGGACTTACAACAGGCTCTCTGACCAGTATTCATACCTAAATAATGTATATTAGAGCTGATTTCCTCTATTCTGTTTATTTCAATATACAGTGCACTACTGTGTAAACATTTAAAAATATATGAGAAATGTTATAAATGGTGCAAAGGTGGCATTAAAAACAATATCAAAGATGGTTGACATTAACTCACTACCATGATAGTATGCTCCTCACTTAACGATGAATTCGTTTAACAACATGGTCTCAGAGACAGAACTCCGTCGTTAAGTAAGGAGAGTCTGTATGTCATTGATGTCAGCTAGGCTTGTATACCTTGTACATGTACTTATAAAGATATTATTATTATTAAGAAATATTTTCTTCATGTATTTTTAATACTCTTTAATGAAGTATAATATTAAGTTGCTTACCAAGGGGAGATGAGATAAAGTGGTCTGTGGTAAAGTAAGGGGCCATTTCACACCCTTTGGCAAACAATGGTATATGTATAATACATGGCTCTATGAGCAGTGACTAAATGAAAGTGCTTTAAATAAATACTATTTTAAATAATGAATTAGTGAAAACTTCAGTGCTCACTTAGGTAAAGGTTTTTAATAACAGTGCCAGAGGGAAATGAAAAAACAAAAAGGCACAATACCATGACTGGAACAATACACAAATAACCCGCATGTAGAAGAGAGAAGCAGCGGACTGAAATGTTGTAAGCTTCTCTAAGTGCAGGTTATTTGTGAATGGTAATGAAAGGCTCGTTTACCTCGATTTGACATTCTGATTGGATTCAAATCCTCTATGTTAATATTTAGCTTCATCAAAACCTTATGCAATACTCCATACAAAACTATGTATTCCTTTTATGTGCACTCCAGTAGAGGGGACTGGCTTACAGGATAGAAGGATGCCTTTCTTGGATTGCTCAGAGATATTAACACATATTGTATATCATAATGTATACAGTACCAACAAATTGATGAATAAGGCATGTTTAACACCTGGGTATTTTTACTGATGAGAAGTTTTACCTGTGGAGCAGATTTTTTCAATGAATTACAAGATTGAACACTTTCTATCAACACTAAAGGACTAAATACGTTCCTTGGACCTTTACCTTTGATATACACTTGGTGAGTTTCAAGTGTTTTCTACTACTGGAGCCTGGCCTTGGACCAGGCTTGTTAGGTGACTGCCTGGTCAACCAGGCTGTTGAAGTTCTCTCCATTTCCTTTGCTCTCCAGTATTAGTCACTTCTGCATTATCAGATTGAAAAAGTCTGTTGCTCAGTCAAAATGGCTCATCAATAAAGGTACCCAAGTATTGCACATGTGTCTCATACATGAGAAACACATCTAGCTATCATTGTTTATATCATAAAAAAGCAAAACATTTCAGCAAGAAATTTGTCATGTATCTCAGAATGATAATCAACCACAAGTAAGTAGTATTATCAAAATTAAAATCTTCCAAAGCGCTACTCAACAACATACATGGTACGTATTTCCTGCAATGCATCTTATAGTGTAATGTGAGCACACACATATATTACAAAAACACTGACAGGTCATAACTGAGATGACGCAAGTGCCAACCTGCATCCCCCTCACTATCAGATAAGATGCAGAGATAACCTATCATTCAACTCAGTTTAAAGAAAACCATGCACAATTACCTCCAATAACTTAGATACAAAACAATCAAAAAGATAATTAGAAAATCAGTATTTATACAATATAGCATCAAATACTAATATGATTTAAAGCCTCAATGACATGCCATCAAAGCCTAGATCACAAAATACTTTTAAAAAAGGCACTATGATCATAGCAAACCATTAAATGACATACAGATGACATGTAACTCTAAGCACAGCTCAACTTAGAGAAAAACATCAACCATAAATAAAAATTTGCTCTGTACAAAGTATATTTTACCATATTTGTCAACAAATTTTGCACCCAACTTGATACTTTACTACCATCAAGTATATATACACATTGGTAAAGAAAGCAGATTTCAAAATACAAGACTGTAAAAGTAGGAAAGATTTGTCCATGAAAAGACAGAATAAAAAAAACTATTAAATTATCTAGAATTAACAGAGAATAGATGTGAGAGAGGAGAGCAGGCTTCCTTATACAAAGTCTGAGGTCTGAAAAAAATTTCTAGAAGTGACATCTCAGGTAACTAATACCAATAATGCAACAATGAATTTTTTTTGTTTTCAACGAACTGGCTATATCCCACCAAGGAAGGAGTGACCTTAAAATAAAAGCTAAAGTTTTTCTTTTTCAATTTAGTAATTTATACAGGAAAAAGGGTTACTAGCACCTTGCTACAATGGAAAATAACCAGGATAAAAATAGTGACAAACAGAATGGAAACTCACTTGTTCACCCCCCTCACTTATTCTCTCATCCTCTTTCTCACTCACCCACCTTCTCATTCTGTCATCTCCCCTCATCCACCCCTCCCTCACTCATCCAACTTTGTCTACAATTCCCCCCACCCTATCATTCATCTGTCCTCACATCTGTACTATTGAAACAAACAGAAAAGTACATTATCAGTTGGGTTACAGTAACCTGCATCATTGTCACTATTATGCATAGCATTATGCATGTCACATTGTAACTGGTAATACCCAACTCTACTCTCATCCTGTGCAATCTCTGGCATGCTGCCCAACCTCTCCCTTCCCTGCCTCTTTCCCAAGCCCTGTATAAGCAGTATAATTATACATTCTCTGAAAGTGGAGTAGTGATTATTATACAAGATATCAAAAAATAGGTAAAACTTTCCTATCTCCCACTATATAAAGATATCAGTCAACCGCTAATATATATAACTAACTCTGTAGTGATTATACAATTTTATTGAAAATCATACTTTATTAAAAAAATCCTGGAAATAGAACTAATCATATATAAAACTGGCAAAAATAACTCCAAGACATTATATAGAACATACATTAAGCCCATCTTGGAGTACTGCACCTAATAAAGTATATACACAAGAAAAGATCCAAAGGTTTGCAATGATATTGGTACTGGAATAGGGAAAATAAACTACAAGAAGATACTTAAGCAACTCATCACATTAAAAGAGAGGAGGACTAGGGGAGATATGATTATGGCATAAAAAATACCCTACCCTACCCTTAGCAAACTAACCTACCCTACCCTTAGGAAACTACCTTACCCTCCCCTTAGCAACCTACCCTGCTCTTAGTAAATTAACCTACCCCTACCCAAAGCAAATTAACCTACCCTACCCAAAGCAAACTAACCTACCCTACCCCTAGAAAACTAACCTATCTTTCCCTTAGCAATCTACCCTACCCTATCCTTTGCAACCTACCCCACCCATAGCAACCTAACCTACCCCACCCATAGCAACCTAACCTACCCTAGCCAAAGCAAACTAACCTACCCTTCCCTTAGCAAACTACCTACCCTTAGCAACCTAATCTACCCTTAGCAAATTAACTTACCTTACCCTTAGCAAATTAATCTACTTTACCCTTAGCAAATTAACCTACCCTATCCTTAGTAAACAAACCTACCCTACCCTTAGCAAACAAACCTACCCAACCCTTAGCAAGCAAACCTACCCAACCTTTAGTAAACAAACCTACCCTACCCTTAGCAAACAAACCTACCCTACCCTTAGCAAACAAACCTACCCAACCCTTAGCAAACAAACCTACCCTAACCAACCTTCAGAAAACAAACCTACCCAACCCTTAGCAAACAAACCTACCCAACCCTTAGCAAACAAACTACCCTACCCTTAGCAAACAAACTACCCAACCCTTAGCAAACAAACTACCCTAACCAACCCTTAGAAAACAACCTACCCAAACCCTTAGAAAACAAACCTACCCAACCCTTAGTAAACAAACCTACCTAACCCTTAGCAAACAAACCTACCCAACCCTTAGCAAACAAACCTACCCAACCCTTAGCAAACAAACCTACCCAACCCTTAGCAAACTAACCTAACCTACCCTTAGCAAACAAACCTACCCAACCCTTAGCAAACTAACCTACCCTACCCTTAGCAAACAAACCTACCCAAACCTACCCTAAACTTAGCAAATTAGCCTACGCAGACCAACCTAACTTAACCTATCCTCAAACCAGCACAACCCACACCAACCTATCCTCCCGTACCCAATGTACCCAGTATACCTGATGGGTTCACACCGTGTGTACCCCAGGCTGCAGTGCCCCATACCCCTTACTGGAACATACCCGGCATTTTCGTTCTGGTTATCACGTCTATCCGCCCCTTCCTCGTCATCCTCCTCGTCCATTTCAAATTCCCTCACAATATACACTGGCAGCAGCTGCTTGTATCTCATGTCCCCTAGTTCACCCTGCTTCCCTCCCTCACACTTTACGATGGTTTTCCTTCCTTCTCGGTCCTTCTGGGCCATAATATAGGAAAATATCCTGGGCACACACCCCGATTCCCAAATATTTCTGGCCACAATAACAAACCCTGGAGAGCCATCGTACGCCACAGTAACTAGTGACGAATTTCTATCTTGTCGTCTTGCTGCCTGAAATAAGACAAAATAAGTAATTAAGTTTATTCAGGTATACACAAATACAGTTATATAGATTATCATACATAGCAGCATATGTGTAGAGAACCTAGGATAACCCCAAAAAAGTCAAAGTGATTTATTTCCATAGGGGTTGCTGTCATTATCTCACTATTATAATACCGGCTTGTTGATGAATAAGACACATGTAACACTTGAATATTTGTCTTGAGAGATGTTTATTAGTCTAATACAGTGGCATGTCAAAGAAGGGGGAAATTGCAGCAGTTGAAGACATCACTGCATGTGGGCAGAGCCCAACAGTGAAAGTACGTCAGGTCCACAAGGTGGGCTATTTATATAGCATTGGGGTTGTAGAACATATGGAGAGGTACCGCAGTTAAAGATAACATCACAAGTAGGCAGGGCCCACTGGTGACATTACGTCAGGCCCATAGGGGCCCAGAAATCAACAATGGAATTTTAGAAGAGATTCTCTTATCAAGTTGAACTGTCTCTTAATAAAGATACCCAGATGTTGTCTTATTCATCAACGTAATCAAATCATACTTATTTAACACAGCAACATCATGGAATCGGTACTTATCTTACCTTATCTTCCTGACAAACCTTACCTAACCTAACCTAACGTAAACATAATATTTCTCAGCACCACATAAGTCAGCCGGAACCTTAGATAACCGCATCACAGAAGATAAGATAAGATTTCGTTCGGATTTTTAACCCCGGAGGGTTAGCCACCCAGGATAACCCAAGAAAGTCAGTGCGTCATCGAGGACTGTCTAACTTATTTCCATTGGGGTCCCTTAATCTTGTCCCCCAGGATGCGACCCACACCAGTCTACTAACACCCAGGTACCTATTTGCTGCTAGGTGAACAGGACAACAGGTGTAAGGAAACGTGTCGAAATGTTTCCACCCGCCGGGAATCGAACCCGGGCCTTCCGTGTGTGAAGCGGGAGCTTTAGCCACCAGGCCACCGGGCCACTCATGGCAAGCAAGTCTTAAAACTCTCAGTGTAGTCACTCAAACTGGCTCTTGGATACTATTAGTCATGCACACTTAAAACACGTAAGTGGTCCCCTTAATGGCTTGAGGGACCGTGACAACGTGACACAAAGTTAGTAAGCTTTGAAGTCATGGCCCTCTTTACTAATGTACAGGTAAACTAAGGTGAACTAGCTATAACGTGACCCTTCCCAATCCACGCCGGGATTTCGTCGATTTGATTTAATTGTGCATATGTTACAAATGCTTTAGCCTTCAAAACAATGAGCATAAACAACAGATTGGTTTTGTTATGGGTAAGTCCCTCAGAGCCATTCTGTATTATGACTATCATCCCTAATTCATCATCTGGATGGTATACCTAAATGGCGTTCTTATTCTTGTGCCTTGAAATCTTGACACTATCTTTACACTATCAACACCCCTAGGCCTACTATCACTTTTACTGTCGAAGAAAAAATGGCAGCCTCTTGCCCTTTCTGATGCATTTCTCCACACTGGAGAGGCTACACTATAAGATACCGTAAACAAAAAATCTGCACATGAAAATTACTTATTACATTTTTTATTCTCACTATGACAGATCTAACAGAGGCTTAGCTATAGGTTTTTTATCGGAGATCTTAGAATTTCTAGCTCTCAGTGCCTCTACGATGAGTGCACATACCTTTGCACAAGCTTTTAGCCTTCTCCACATTCCCCTTTTGCTTTATCGCTCATTGCAGGTAATGGGCAACATGTATCCTTGGCAGAAACGATACTACGTGCCGCAAAATGCCCTTCTCACACTATACCACTCACTTATTTATCCATACCTCACCTATGCTATTTGTGCTTGGGGATCAACTGCAGCAACACACCTAAAGCCAATAATA